ACCCTCTGAGCATCCTCCTGGAGCCACAGGCAGTGGGGTCCCTGCATGGACCCTCTGAGCATCCTCCTGGGGCCACAGGCAGTGGGGTCCCTGCAGGAGACCCTCTGAGCATCCTCCTGGAGCCACAGGGATCCCTGCATGGACCTTCTGAGCATCCTCCTGAGGCCACAGGCAGTGGGGTCCCTGCAGGAGACCCTCTGAGCATCCTCCTGGAGCCACAGGCAGTGGAGTTCCTGCAGGAGACCCTCTGAGCATCCTCCTGGGGCCACAGGCAGTGGGGTCCCTGCATGGACTCTCTGAGCATCCTCCTGGGGCCACAGGGGTCCCTGCATGGACCCTCTGAGCATCCTCCTGGAGCCACAGGGGTCCCTGCATGGACCCTCTGAGCATCCTCCTGGGGCCACAGGGGTCCCTGCATGGACCTTCTGAGCATCCTCCTGGAGCCACAGGCAGTGGGGTCCCTGCATGGACCCTCTGAGCATCCTCCTGGGGCCACAGAAGGGTCATCCCAGATGATCTTCTGGACATCCTCCTGAGGCCACAGAGGGGTCTCAGTGAACTGACCCTCTGAGCATCCTCCTGGAGCTGCAGAATCCCCCCGGGCTGCCCCCGTGGGGGCACGTGGAGGGGCAGCCACAGAGCCCTGCCCGGCAGCACGTCCCAACCTGACTGGCACTCAGCACCTCTGAGGCAAAACGGTCCCACAAGCCGGGGAGAGGGACTGGGGGGCTGCTCCTCTGCCCGCAGCGTTGCCCCTTGGCACTCGCCACACCAGGGGAGCCCTGCCCAGGACCCCCAGGCGGTCCTGGCACTCTGGGAAGGGGGAGTGCTGACCCTGGACCCTCATGCTCTGCCATGGGCTCCACCTCCTCCCTCCAGCCGGGCAGAGGAGCCAGGCTGTGCCTCTGCCTCCTCACCCTAAAGGCAAAGGGGCTGGGCAGAGCAATCTGGGGCTGGAGGTGGGCATCGGGCAGCCCCTGCTGTGACAGAGGCCAAGCTGGAGGAGCTGCCAGCGTCAGCCTGCCCCGAGGACAGGCTGTGGGACAGCGTGGGGGGCTGAGCTCCCCAGAGAAGCCAGAGTTTGGGCAAAGGGCTCTGACCTGTCCTACGCCTCCGGCGGGAGGGCAGAACTCACAGATGGTGATGAGCAAGGGCAGGGTGACCCCCCTGGGGCAGTCAGCAGAGCCCCCTCCTCACCCCGCTGGGCCAGCTCTGGGGCTGGCGCCATCCTCATCCCTGCCGTGTCCCCGTGCCTGGAACAGCCCCTCCACGGCCCCGGCTGGTGCCTCTCACCTCATTTTCCCTCCGGCACGGCGGGGCTGGTGCTCTGCTTCTCCTGCCTCGGGTGCCGCCGGGATGCCCGGCTCCCTCCCGCCCGCGTGGGCGCCGCCAGGACTCACATGTTGGATGGGAGTTTGGGCTTCGCCGTTTCCACCTCGGGGCTGAAGGCCACGGAGCCCTTGCGGGAGGGACCTGGCGGCTGCCTGGACGCGGAGCTGGGGGACTGGGGAGTGGACGCTGCCGCGGAGGAGCGGCCGGGCTGAGCCAGCGATCCTGAAGGCATCTGCTGCGAGTGTGCGGGCTGGCCGGGCAGCCCCGCGCACGGCTTGGCCAGGAGTCCGGCTACCGAGGGCGAGGACCTGCGGGCCAAATTCCCCGCAGATTTCCTGCCCTGCTTCAAAGAGCTCCCGTCGCCTTGCTGGGCTACTTTATTGGGAAGGGAGGGCTGCGAGGCAGACAGGAGCCGCACATCCTGCGTGAGCCGCCCCAGCGGCAGGCCCTGGATGCTCCTGTGCTTCACCAGCTGCTGCGGCTGCATCAGGAGGGAGATGTGGGAGCCGGTGGCTCGGGACAGGCTGTAGTGGAGCGTTCTCCCCGGCGGCAGCGCCTGCTCGGAGCTGGGGGACGCGGCGCCCGCCGCTTGCTGCAGCAGCGAGGTGGACACCGAGGCGCCGCGGGAGCGGGAGAGTTGGGGCTGGGGGGCGGCCGGGGGCTGCTTGGGCCCCGCGGGCATCTCCGCCCTCTGCGCGGAGCGGGGCAGGGGCTGCGGTCTCTGGCCCCCGCCCTCCAGCGGCGCCTGCGGCTGGACCACGGGCGAGGAGGGCGAAGCGGCGGCCGGGGTCTGCAGGTGGGACGGCGCCCCGGAGGGCGAGCCGACGGAGGAGGGTCGGGAGCCCCCCAGGCTGGGCTGCGAGCGGCGAACGGGCTTGGTGAGCAGCGTGGCTTCGGGAGAGAGCGGGCTGGAGATGGAGGAGGGCGGCAGGAAGATGTGAGCCTGCAGGCTGTGCTGGTGGGTCAGCGCGATGGCCACGTTGGTGGTGGCGGCGGCCGTCTGCAGCGGGGCGTGCACCAGCGGCTCCCAAATCACCGGCTTGCCGCTCAGCTCCCGGCCCATCGCCATCTGCTGCAGGTCCTGGATGTTGTGGGCCATGTCCTGGTCGTGCTTCACGATCTGCTGGATCATCTCGTTGTTCAGGGGTCCCGAGCTGTGCTCGGCTCGCTTGCGGAGCAAGATGGAGTTCTTCTTCCCTGCAGGGGAGGCAGGAGCGTCACCGACCCTGGAGTGTGGGCAGGGTGGCAGTGGGGAAGGGACAACAAAACCTCGCCAGCGTTCCAGGGGAAGCAAGACCCTGGGAAGGGTCCAGGCTGGAGCAGTGGAAGCAGCAGGGACAAAACAGGAGAGCCCTGACTCCAAAGGGGCTGGGGGCTGGGGTCCTGCTTGTCCACAGGCAAGGAAGGGTGAGGACAAGCAGCTGGTTGCTGCCAAGCACTGAGAGTGCAGTGCAGTTACGTTTTCCCAGGGAAACCTGTCCTACAGCATTGCCTGGATCTTGCTAGTGGGGAGAGAAAGGACAGGCTCCTTCCTCCCGCTCCCCATCATCCTCACTGCTGGGCACCCACAGCGTTGGGGCGCTGTGATCACCTCATGTTATCACCACCTGTGATCACAAACCTGTCCTACAGCACTGCCTGGATCTTGCTAGTGGGGAGAGAAAGGACAGGCTCCTTCCTCCTGCTCCCCATCATCCTCATTGCTGGGCACTCACGGCGTTGGGGCGCTGTGATCACCTCATGTGATCACCACCTGTGATCACAAACCTGTCCTACAGCACTGCCTGGATCTTGCTAGTGGGGAGAGAAAGGACAGGCTCCTTCCTCCCGCTCCCCATCATCCTCACTGCTGGGCACCCACGGCGTTGGGGCGCTGTGATCACCTCATGCCACCTCTGTGACTCCACCACCCGTGGGTCTGGGGGCCGGTGGGCCCCCGGGAGTGGCTGTAGAGGTGGCTGCGCTGAGCCCAGGGGGGTCACTCCTCCTCACCTATGCGGTCCAGCCGGTCCATGGCCACCGTCTCGAAGGCCCTGCGCATCATGGGGTACTCCTCCAGCACCTCGTTGAAGTTATCCACGGACAGCGAGTAGAGGCGGCAGTAGGTGTCGGCCCTCACGCTGGCCGTGCGCCTGCCCCGCGTCAGGAGGCAGATCTCTGCAGGGCACGGGGCTGGGGTCAGGGCGACACAGCCATCCACCCCCCTCCCACCCTGCCAGCAGGAGCAGGGCTGCCCAGCACCCCACCACCCTGCACAAAGCTCGGCTGGGAGGCAGGGACTGACCCTGCAGCCTGGCACAGCATTTTCCTCCCTCTCCAGGCCATGGAGACACCCCCAGGTGTGGCTGCTGTGATGGCCTGGCCTGTTTCCCTCCCAGAGCTGTGCCTGTAATCCTACAAACCGGCTCAGATGTTCTGCTCTAAGCCCCACTCCTCCCTGGCCAGCAGTGGATGCTCCCTCTGCCCCAGCCAGACAGAACTGGGGTGGAATGGATGCCAAGACTTTGGCACTGGGCAAGAGGAGAAGGGCAGGCAGAAACATTAGGGATGCCCCAGCTTCTGCTCCCGGACAGCTTTTGTCCCCTGCTCTGTTCACCAGCTCCCCCAGCCCAGCCTCACCCCCAAAGTAGGAGCCATCAGACAGCTTTGTCTCCTTGTTGCCCTTGGTGAGGATGCTGACCACACCGTGCTGGATGAAGTACATCTTTTTGCCCACGGTGCCCTCACGGATGATGAAGTCCCCAGGCTGGAAGACCTCGAAGCGCAGCTTGGTCAGCATGGCCGTCACGAAGTTGGGGTCGGCGTTGGCGAACAGGGGCATGTTGGCCACCAGGTTGCGGCAGTTGAAGTTGATGATTTCCTGAGGGGTGAGGAACGGGTCAGTGGGGACGTCGCCGAGCCTGGCCCCTGCCACCACCAGCCTCTGCCCTCCTGGCCACAGCACAGGAGTGCTGCCCGCACCTCTTTGAGCGGCTCGCTGAGCTCCCCCAGGATGTTCTCCTCGTCGAACATCTTGCCCTGGTAGCGGTGCTCGTAGTACTCGTGGATCCGCTGGCGCGTGTCCCCAGGCAGCTTGTGGAATGACATGTACTGCTCCACTTGCTTGTACTGCAGGGACAAGGGGAGGCACACAGGGCTGAGCTGGGACCACCAGCGTGGCTGGACCACGCCTCCCTTCTCCTCGGTGGTGTAGATACACACACCCCTGCTCCAGCGCCCACGGGGACAAAGGACAGCACGCCTGTGCACTGAGGATGCAGGTGGGCCCAGGGCAGGGGGCAGGATGGGGCCACGCTGTGCAGGAGTGACCCCAATATGGACACTCTTTCTCAACAGACAACCTCAGCTTCACCTGCAACAACCCAAGGGAGGGTGGCAAGGACAAAGATCCCAACCTCAGCGCACGGCAGCTGTGCCGAGCTGGTTCTGGAGCTGGACCCGCTCTTTCCCCAGCACCCAGGCCCTCCCTCCCTCACCCCGCCGACCTTCTCCTGGTACTGGCGCCGGGACGAGTCCAGCGACTGGATGAGGGCGGTGGCGTGGCCGATGAACATGGCGTAGCAGGTGGCCCCCACGATCATGCTGAGCATGGTGAGCCACACGTCGGTCATGCCCTCGGGCGCCTGCTGCCCGTAGCCGATGCACAGCATGTGGCTCATGGCCTTGAACAGGGCGTGCGAGTACTGCTTGCCCCACGAGTCGTTCTGCAGGCGAGGGACAGCGCTGCTGAAGGGTTTGGTGTGCACCTGAACCCCCCAGTCCCACCTCCCTAAGCTGGGGAGTCCAGGCACCCAGTGAGAAGAAGGTTCCTCCAAGGCCAAAGGGATGAGTTGTCCTCCAGGAAAATGGAACTGGAGTGTGTGAAGCCCTGAGCAGGCACGAGTCCATGCTCTGGGGAGGAGGTAGGAGCCCCATTGTCCTATTCCCTCCCCGAGGGATTCCCTGACTCCAGCGGGATGGGCTGAGATGGGAAGGTGATGCAGAGATTCCCACTGCTGGGACCACAGAGACAATGCTCACCAGCACATCTCCCAGCAGCTCCAGCCTTGGGCTGAGAGACAGGAAACCAAATCCCCTCCCCACCACAACAAATCCCAGCTGGAACCACCCCAGTCTGGGCACTCACCACCATGTGGTTCTTGGAGACCCAGCAGTCCTCGGGGAAGTCCTGCAGCATGGGCACCAGGAACTGCAGGCAGCCATCCCAGTGGCACAGCAGCAGCATCATCCCGATGAGGTTGAAGATCCTCACCACGGCGCTGGCCAGGTCGTACGTCATGTGGAAGATCTGGGGAATGCGCAGGAGCGGAGCTGCAGAGGAACTCTTCTCCAAGAACAGCCCTCGGAGCCCTCTGCCCTTCAGACAGGGGAGCCCCGAGCTGGCCTGGGACCCCGAGCAGGAGACCCCCAAGGGGTTCTCACCTCCTCCCACTGGTGGATGTAGCGGATGAGGCGCGAGAGGCGCAGCAGGCGCAGCAGGCTGAGGATCTTGGTGAAGCGCACGATGCGCAGGGCCCGGGCTGTCTTGTAGACATCAGAATCCACCTGGGTCTCCAGGTCAACAATGAGGAAAATGTAGTCAACAGGGATGGAGGAGATGAAGTCGACCAGGAACCAGCTCTTCAAGTACTTCATTTTGATGGTGTGAGGGTCAAGAATGATCTCCGTGTTGTCCTCCACCACGATGCCTGTCCGGAAGTTCAGCACCAGGTCAGCCAGGAAGAAAGTGTCCGAGAGCACATTGAAAACGATCCAGGGAGGGGTGTTCTCATCCTTGAAGAAGGTGATGCCCACGGGCAGGATGATCAAATTCCCCACCATCAGGAGCAGCATGATGAGGTCCCAGTAAAACCTGCAGGGGGTGGGAATGCAGGGGCCAGAGCGGGACACAGGCAGTTAGACAATAAACCCAGGATGAAATTTGGGTCTGACAGGGTGCTGAGGAGACACAAACACACACGTGCCTGCCCACACACACGACTAACACCCTGCTGCTTGGCTGGGACGGACGTGAGCAGAAGTGGGGTGCAGAAGTCCCCCTGTGTGGGAATGGGCGGTGTGGGAGCTTGGCTGTCCCTCTTTCTCCATGCACACCTATGCCCCAACCCCAAAGCTGCCACGTGCCCACGGAGAACTCAGAGAGGATGTGGGCTTTGCTCCCTCGAGGCTCCTTGTCATCCGCTGTCTCCCTGGCACCACCCGAGTTGGCTTAGCAGGATTTGGGATAAGCTTTGCTGGTTATGCAAACCGAGCTCCCCGGGGGCAGCACAGAAGGAGCAGGGAGGCTGTTGTGGTGAGCCAGGCAGCAGCCAGACAAGGATAGACAGTGCTGGTACCAGGGGAAGGTCCAACCCTACGGGCAGGATGAAGGACTCCTCATCCACCTCCTTTTGCTGGGAGTGGATGGGCTCGGAGGATTTGGAAGGAAAGCCCAGAGATGCCGGCAGCAGCTGGTTCTGTCAGGGCACCCAGCAGCCCTGTTCACATGCAAATGCCACCGGGATGTTCTCATTCTTCACACAGACACGTCACGACTTTCTCCACCAGGCTTGTGACTCCTGGGATCCCCCGTCAGAGCCTTCATGGGAAAACAAACCCAGCTTTAGGTGTCCCTGTTTGTCCCAGCCCTGGCTCACATCTCCAAGGGTGATTTCAGGGCAGCTCTTAGTGCCCAGGCAATCCAAACCAGCTTTTAGAGGTGGCAGAAGCCTGTGGGGATTTCCTACCCCACACCCGTGGTGGGACATGGATATTGGGAATTCTGGAGATAAGGGAAGGGAAGGGAAGGGAAGGGAAGGGAAGGGAAGGGAAGGGAAGGGAAGGGAAGGGAAGGGAAGGGAAGTCGTGGTGCCATGAGAGGCTTCTTCAGAGAGAGCATCACAGCCTGAGGGGGGGCAGGGTCCTCAAGGAGCCACCCCAAGGTCAGAGTGACACCAGGTCTACAAACCACCCCAGGGTCAGGAGCCTCTCCTGAGTTAACACCTTCCTGCCAGTGGCCAGGATTTGCTGGGATTTCCAGGGAAGGAACTGCAGCTGAGGCAGAAAGGGCCTGACCCAGCGGAGGAATTGCCTCCTGCACCTCCATGCTGTGCCCTGAGGAGCTGAGCAGGGAAGCTGCCTGTCCCTGGAGCTGCCCAAGCCTGCCTGGAGCTCTCGCTTCAGATTTAGGCTTAAGCTCTTTAGGACAGGCCTTGTCCTTCAGTACGTGTCAGACTGAACACTCAGGGCCCTGATCTCCATGGCCTTTATGTATCTCCCTAATGTGATAAACACCGGAGTAATCCCCCTGGCTGTCTACCTGCCAGCTCCCTTCACGGTGCTGCTTGCAGAAGCTGCTCCTGCCAAGCTCAAGGCTCCCAAACTTTGGGATTCCCAGGGAAAAGGGCTCTCAGGGCTGGGGTGCTGCAAGGGACCCAGGGGTGAGGGGAGATGGCTACAGGTGCTGGGGACCCACACCGGGTGCTGGCTCCATTCTGAGGTTCTTCCCAGGCTGGGGACATCATCCATGTCACAGCTTGCTGCGGGAGATGACTGCCTGGCAGCTTCATTCCCCGTGGAGAAAGCCCACCCTATATGACTCAACATCCCCGTGACACCCAGTTCCTCCCACATCATCCATCCCCGAGCTCCCGCTGTGATCCCGGTGACACCGAGAGCCGGGCCCGGCTCCTCGCTGGGTGACCAGCCCCGCTCCAGCCGCGGGGAGCCGCGTCCCAGCGGGATGAAGGCTCCGGATCAAATTAAAAACAGCATCGAGAAGGGCGGGGGGAAGCTCTAAGGGCAGGCGAAGCCCAGCAAACCCTGCCGCCGCCTCCGCACGCCCGGGGCCGGGGCAGCGGGGACCGGCGGAGCCGAGCTGCCCCCGGGCACCGGGAGCCCCGAGAGCCCGCGGGTGCTGGGGCAGGACAGAGCCGCCGGTGCGGGCGGGATAATCCCCGACGGGAAGGGGCTGGGGCAGCGGGCCCCGGGCCCCGGCAGTCGGCAGCCTCCTCCCCGGGCCGGTGCGGAGCCCCGGTTACCGGCACTTGTTGCCCCTACGGTGTCGGGCGGCGGGGCGGCGCTCAGCACCACGGACAGCGGGCACCGGGCCGGGCGGCGGAGCCGGTGACCGGCGCCGGGATGGGGGTCGGTGCCGGTGGCGGGGAGGGGGTCGCGGGGCCCCGGTCCCACCTGAAGTCGCTGTAGGGATGGATAATCCAGGCGCCCGCCGACTTCACCCGCTGCCGCTCGATCTCCACGGCCCGGTGGCTGCCGAACATGCGCAGCGAGAACTTGTTCACGGCGGGCTGCAGCATCGCCCCGAGCTGCCGCTGCACGAACGTGCCCGCCGCCGCCGCCGCCGCCGCCTCGCCCTCCGCCGCGATCTGCTCCGTCGCCGCCGCCGAGGCCGGGGCCGCGCCCGACGCCCCCGCGGGCGCCCCCGCTGCCTCCCCGTCCAGCAGCGGCGGCTTCTCCCGCGGCTCGGGGCTTCGCCTCGGCGCCGCCTCCATCCCGCCGCCGCCGCCGCCGCCGCCGCGCCTCACGTTTCCTTCAAACGCCCTTGCCCGGGCGCCCTGCCCGTCGCCCCGCCGCACATGCCCGGCCCCGGGCGGGCGGGCGCTCGCTCGCCGCCCGCGGCCGCCCGCTCACCGAGCGCTCACGAAGCTCCGCCGGCGCCCGCCTGTTGCGCACGCTCCGGCGCGGGCGCGGCGGCCGCCGGCAGCCGGGAAGCGCCGGTGGCACCGGAGCGGCGGAGAGGGGAGCGGCGAGGCCCGGGCGGCACCGGAGCGGCGGGACCCCGCGGCGGGAGGGGCGGGGCGGGGCTGGCGGGAGGGACCTCGGGAAGGAGAACGCGCCCCCGGTCCGGCCCCGGTACCACCGGGGGAACCGATGAGGGGCGGGGCTTCACGAGAGAGGGGCGGGGCTACATATAGAGACCCCGCCCTTTCTGCCTGGCCCCGCCCATCGGCGGCAGCGAGGCTAGGGGGCGTGGCTTGTGAGGAGCTGGGCGTGGCTTATGGAGGCGGTGGGCAGCGTATTTGCATAGGCCCCGCCCCTAGAGCGGGCCCGCCCCTCGGCCCCGTCAGGAGAGGGGCGTGGCTTAGGTGAGGAGGTGGGCGGGGCGATCAGCGCAGGCCACGCCCCTCGGATCCCACCCAGCGCCGTCGGGACAGCGAAAGGGGCGTGGCTTACAAATTGGGCGATGCCCCGCCCCTCCGGTTTAACCCCGCCCACCGCGGCGTGACGCAGCTCCGCGCGCCTGCCTGCGTGCGTGCGTGCGTGCGTGCGTGAGCGAGCGCGTACGTGCGCGCGCGGCCCCGCGGGCTGGCAGGACCCGGATCGGCGGCGGCGGCGGGAGCTGGAGCGGGGCCCCGGGGCCCACGGCCGCCATCACGGATTTCCTGTGGGACAAGCGCACCGGGCTGGCTGCCAGGACGGTGCGAGGCCGCGCGGGGCGGGGGCGGGGTGGGTAGGCCGCGGGCGGTGAGGGCGGCGCGGGGCGGGCCCGCTTTGCGGTTCCCGGTTTGCCGTTCCCGGTTTGGTGGTTCCCGGTGGGAATCGGCGGCCTTGGGTGTTCCCGGGGGGGGCGGCGCGGCCGGATGGCCCGGGGGAACCGGGTGGAGGCCTCCCCGCCGAGGCCGCCCCGCCCTCTCCCGGTGTCCCGGTGCTTCCGGCCCCGCCCGGCGCGGCCGCCATCACCGGCCCCAATCCGGTTCCAGCCCCGCTGCTCGTTCCGCGGATTCGGGGCTTGGCGGGCCGCCAGCGCCGCTCCCTTCGCCCCGCGGTTGGACACCGCCAGGCTCGGCGGCAGCCCGGGCAAAGCCCCCGGTGCGGGCGGTACCGGGCCCGTGCCCCCGGTCAGCCCGGGGCCGGTCCGGCCTGTCCGAGCCCTGCCGGTGATGTCAGCGCAGGGCGGGGACGGGGACGCAGCCAGGGGCGTTTTGGATGGGGGAAAATTCCGGCTTCTCTTGCGGCCGTGGCACGGATTGCCCAGAGAAGCCGTGGCTGCCCCATCCCTGGGATGTTCAAAGGCAGCTTGGGCGAGCACTGGGGCAAACTGGGCTAGTGAAAAGTGGCACTGAGTGAGTTTTGGGGGTCCCGCCCAGTTAATAATTCTGTCATTCCCAAATCCGCGTGGGGAATGTCGGAGAGGCTGCGAGGGGCTGTGCCCGCTGTGCCACTCCACCTCGCTGGCCCCTCGGCTCCAGCCTCTCGTTTTCCCCCAGGTGGGCAGAGCTGAGGGTCTGCGGGGCTCTGGTGATGTCCTTTGGGAAGGGAAGGTTTGCTCCTGGGTGGACAGAGGGAATTGTGTCACCAATCTGAGTTGGAAGGGATCCACAGGCATCAGCAAGTCCTGACGTCCTTCCTCAGGGACAACAACCCCACCCTGTGCATCCCTGGGAGCGTTGTCCAAACCCTCCTGGGGCTGGGATCATTCCCTGGGGAGCCTGGGCAGTGCCCAGCAACCTCTGGGGGAAAAACCTTGTCCTGAAATCCAACCTAAACCCCCTCTGACACAGCTCCAGCCGTTCCCTGGGGTGCTGTAACTGTCCCACAGAGCAGAGATTGGATCTGTCTCTCCTGAGGAAGCCCCCTGAGACCTCTCCTGAGTCCCAGCTGAACAGAACAAATGCCCCCAGCTGCTCCTGGTGGGCTCCCCTAGCCCCTTCCCCACCCTTGTCAGAGTCACTTGGCAGTAAACCTGAGAGGAGCTGCCCTCTGGGCATCCATTGCTACATTATGCCTTTTTCTGACCCAGAGACGAGGCAACTGAGAGGTTTTTTTTTAAACTTTTATTCTATTCTCTGTCCTTTGTGAAGGCTGAGACAATACAGATGTTATAATCCACGCCATCACAATCAGATTCTAATTATTTTTTAAATTACAGTACATTATAATAATTTTTTTGGCTTATCAGTTTTAGCCACAACTTACCTTAAAGTAAATAGTTTAAAATTATCCCTCGTGGGTCTTACCACAATGCATCTTTCATAATTCTAGTTCTGCAAAGATTCTGGTCTTATTTGCAAGGCCACCTTTTGGAACTTCTGTCAGGCTTTGAGGATTTTCTATAAAATCCATTTCTCACCTTGCCCAGGGACTCTGGTGATACCCAGGGCTTCATTTCCCCTTCCCTCACCTTCCTTGGTGCTGCTCCCCTCCTTCCTGGGCAGCTTAAAGAGAGAAGGTGCAAAAGCTGTTCCTGGAGCTGTGGGCAGTGGAGATGGGCGTGAAGGAGGGGTCTCAACCTGGGAAGGAGAACCACGGGGCAAGTGGGGGGTCTCACCTTGTCCTGTGGGGCTCTGGGGTCCCTCAGGTTGCTCTCCTCTCTCTCACATCCCCTGGCACACTCACACACGTTGGGTTCCTGTCCCATGCAGCTGCTAATGCTGCCTGGGTGACCCCATGGGTGTCTCGCTGTCCCTGCTGTCCTCATGGGGTCCCTGCTGTCCCCATGGGTGTCTCGCTGTCCCTGCTGTCCTCATGGGGTCCCTGC